CTCCTGTCTTCACTTCAAAGGCATCACTGAGCTTCCCATTGTGGATTACTTGGCATGTGGCATCTTCATATAGTTGTTGAATGAGGCGGATAAAGGTTTGCGGTACTCCGTAGTATTGAAGCAGTTTCCAAATTACTTCTCGGTCGACGCTGTCAAAGGCCTTCTCAAAGTCGATGAAGTTGAGGTATAGAGCTGATTGCCATTCTACGCTCTGTTCTATGATGATACGAAGCGTTGCAATTTGGTCAGCACATGATTTGTACTTCCTGAAGCCTGCCTGTTCCGGTCGCAGTTTTGAATCCAGTGCGTCTTTAAGCCTCTCCAGGATGATGCGGCTTAATATTTTACTTGGGGTGGATAGGAGAGTGATTCCTCGCCAGTTCTTGCAAGCACTGAGGTCTCCCTTCTTCGGCAGTTTGACAAGGTAACCCTTCTTCCAATCGTCAGGTACCTTCTCTTCCCTCCACACCTTCTGCAATAGTGGTGTGAGCATGTCCGCTGTTGTCTCTGCATCTGTTCTCAGTGCTTCTGGCGGTATTCCATCTGGTCCTGCTGCTTTCCCGCATTTCAGTAGCTTTATGGCGTTCAGGACTTCCATTTTCGTTGGGGGATTTATGTTCACTTGTAATTCAGCGGCTGCAGGTGGTATTTCTGGACGAAGTGCAGGTGGTGGTCGATTCAAGAGCTTCTTGAAGTGGTCGGCCCATCGTTTCCTCTGTTTCTCTTCTTTTGTAATTAAATTTCCTTCTTCATCTTTTATTGGTTTCATCTGTGTTGGTCTCTTCCCTGATAGCAACCTGGTTATTTGATACAATGTCGTCAGGTCTCTCTTACCTGCAGCCTGTTCTGCTTCACTTGCCAGTGTGTCGTAGAAGTGTCGTTTGTCTTTGCGTGCACTCTTCTTCACTTCTTTATCCAGTGTTTTATACATTGTGCTCAGTTCCTCTTGTCGTTGAGCATCCTTGCACTGGTTTATCTTCTGCTTCACCATCCTCCTCTCCTCTATCAGCTTCCAGGTATCCGTCGAGATCCATTCCTTGTCTTCTTTCTTCTTCCTTCCTAATACTGTTGTGCAGGTTTCTTTCCACATAGCTTTCAAAGACTTCCAGTGTTCTTCTACACAGGTTTCTTCAGGGATGTCCCTCGACGTCTCCCATTTTGTCTTGATGGCTGCTTTGAAGATCTCCTTTGTAGTTTCATCCTTCAGTTTCCGAGTGTTGTACTTGAATTGAGGTCTATCACCAGCTTCCTTGAAGGCTTTTAACTTGATTTCGAAGGTTCCTTGCACTAGATAGTGGTCTGAACCTACATCTGCTCCTCTTCTTGACCTTGTGTTAAGTAGACTGCGTCTCCATTTTCTTGAGATTGAGATAAAGTCGATTTGATTTTTAGTGTGTCCATCTGGTGAAATCCATGTCGCTTTGTGGATATCCTTGTGCCTGAACACACTGCCTCCAATCACCAAATCGTTGAATGCACAGAATTCTGCAAACAATTCTCCATTCTCATTCATTTCACCTAGCGCCTCTCGACCCATGGTTAGTTCTCTTCCCGTGTTGTCCCCTCCCAGTTTGGCATTCATGTCGCCCATTAGAATTTTGATATCGCCAACTGACGTCTTGTCCAGTGTTGACTGAAGTTGTCTGTAGAATTCCTCCTTTTTCTCTTGCTCTGCATTATTTGTAGGTGCATAACATTGTATGATTGTGACCTTTCTTCCTTTTGAGTTGAATCTTGCTGACATGATCCTGGAGGAGATTGGTTCCCACTGCATGAGAGCCTTCGATGCTCTTGAGGACATCATGATAGCCACTCCCTCAGTGTGCTCGTGGTTGGCGTCTGGGTGACCGGAGTAGATTATTGATTCTCCCGTTGACAGTTTGGAGAGTCCACTCCCATTCCATCTGCTTTCGCAAATCCCAAGCACTTCGATGTTATACCTTCTCATCTCCTTTGCAATCTGGGCTGCCTTACTGGGTTCAAACATCGTGCGGACATTCCATGTCCCCACGTTTACTTTCGCTTTCATCGAGAGAAGACACATCGGCCAATTGGCTTCCCGAAGGCTTTCACCAACTGGCGTCATTTCGCCTCTCCGATTCCAGCGGGGAATAAGTTTGTTTTCATTTTTTATATTTTGTTTGTGCTTTGAAGTTTCTTTAGCGGTTAGATTTGTTTTACGGGGTAGGGTTGCTAGCCCTATGCCCAACCTTCCCTCTTTACCCGGGCTTAGGACCGGCTAGTAACTAGTAAACTAGTTAACCAGGCGAGGTTGTGTTTCAGTATATTGTCAGGAAATAGATTACACATTCAGCGTGTAGCCTGATGAGAAGTTGTGCTCCCTCTATGCTACCAAATTTGAAGGTCAGAGCGTTAGAATCGGCCTCGAAAGAAGTAAACAACTATAGGATAAGGATCAGGATACAATATCTTGCACCATTGAGGAACCGGTTATTCATATTCTTCAATGAGGGCCTGATGTTTTACTTGTTAGCAGATGCAATAGGTCGTATGTGTCATAGAGGCGTATTTGTGTATGTTTGTGTGTATGTGAATTGTCCCATCTGTCACTGCTTTACTGAAATACGTAGAAATTCGTTATACACCAAAGTGGATGGTGACGACTAATTCTTATGGCAACCTATAGAAACTCAAACAAGTATATTTCACTGGATTATTTTACCCATTTCAAACTAGAACGTTTTCTATCCAGGAGTAATTTTCTAATACTTTGATGTGATTGAGTTTATAAGCTTCTTTTAGACTCCTAATTTACGCTGTACGATCTGCAGTTCCGAAATAAGTGTCTGCTGGTCTAATGGCTTGTAGAGACTTATTGATTTAAAAATGGCTTACATCACTGTTTGACATCAGTATCATGCCCATTACTCAATTCCTCAACAGTGCGCACCTACAACTTCACTAGAAACCGTATTCAGGGCCGCCAGATCAGAGGCAAGCATATTACCATTCAGTAACTTGGCTATCAGTTCTCGAAATAGAGCGACCATCATTCAGTGTTATCGGTGGGTATCACCTTCAACTTCGTTGATCTAACAGGTAACAACTCATTAGAACTTCGAAGAATGCATTTTGAAGCAAGGTATCACTAGTGAAGGCTGGACAGTCATCCTGGATCTTTTGGGTGATGACGGATGTTCACTGCTGAGGAGTCCCATATTAAGACAAAACAGCTCTATAGTGCTTCCAGGTTTTCATTGCTTCTCCAACTGATGCTGATCAATCCACTATGAAAACCACCTGCGGTTGTCTTTTCATTAAAGTCAGTCACCTTATGTTCTTCGGTTGTCTGGGAACAAAATAGTCACTTCATTTGCGCCAAATCTTGTATTTTGTGAGTCTGCACTTCACACGTGCAAGCGAATTGATAGGATTATTCTTATTTTGATTATTAGGATGGAGAACAATAGTCTTGTCTTCATTTATGCAAAGGTTGAAAGAGGAAACCTATGACTAATCAGCTGGAATATGGACTGAATGTTCAAGAGGTTAAAATTCTATGTAACACAAGTTATATGCTTTCGCTGGATTATAAATAAAAATTGAACAAGATAATCTTCAAGTCATGTATATGATTGATAATCTTAGCTCACTGTGTACTTGCTGCTAGCTAAAACTCAAGTTAAGGGAGAAGTCAAGCCACTGAAATTGATTTGAGTATCTAATCCCTATAATGTTGATATGAATCAATTGAACTAAGTGCGTTATTCTGATTGATGGATTCCGGAGGAAGGTCGTATTTTAATTGGTCTGCGATTTAATTTGAGTCACTTTTCGGTTCATTGATTGATGGATCTTATATGATCTTCACAACCGCGACAGAGGCAATTGAGTACTTCGAATCAATCTCTTTCTTGAGTAACATTTTCTGAAGTAAATAGCATAGTTTTGCTTGGTGGGTGGGCGGTGTTTTTCTTGTGAATCACTGTGATTTGTTCACTTCAAACTGCTGTCTTGGGCGACTTTACAGTCCACCCTAGTAAATGCTGAAATAACCAATGAGGTTTCGCTATTCCTGCAAGAAAGGTAGTCTTTCATAAAATAGAGAGACTTAATTGGTTATTTCAACAGTGTAGCCTTTAAAACCACTCATTGCCTCGTCACAGTTGTCTGAAGCATATGATCCTAGAGAGTCAGTCTGGTGCTGATGTTTCACGTGACTAGTCTAGAATGAGAGTGACTCTAAAAGCCGTCCTACAACGAGTTAAATAACCAATTAGACTCCTGTTTTGTGGAAATTTGAATTTGTAACACAAACAGAGAAACCTGATTATCTCTTTCACTCATTCCTAAGGTGAAATTTAGATTCACTCCTCGAATATAATTGCCCAATCTAATACACTCATTCCACCCATACGATGAGTCATGCAGTTCGGCCCTCCCAACCAATTACGACAGAACATAAGGTATGGTGCTTATTGTCAGGGAAATTGATTCATCCGTATATACAACACAATTATCTAACCACAATGCAACACATTTTATGCATAAGGATGAAGTAACCAATGTCGAGCACAAAAAGTGAGATGCACGATAATGGGTTGGTTTTACTCCACGTGCCTTTATTTCTGAACTATAAGTCAAATATAAACGAATGGGGGTCAGTCGAAGGCTCTTGAACCGAGCGAGCTATTCAAGAATGTTATCAGTTGTCATAGATAAAATAACTTATAAAATAAGTGAAATGATACAGCCGACAACACTTATATGGGCTTCATTGTCTTCACTTTTCGGCCGATGTAGCAGCCACTTAAACAATATTCATCATCAATTTTAGTTTACGCCTGATGAGTGTAGACTTGAATTGCTGCTTTATTCACACTAGCAGTCTTTGATTTACCACTCTGAGTGATGATCTTGAACGTGAGTGTGATCCGAAATAACCCTAGTATCGCAGTGCTTCGACAGAACCTTTAGGATCTCTCAAAGTTTCGAGAGAGCCTAATGCGTAGACACTTTCTGACATTCTTCTTTCTTAGTATGGTTAGATATTGCTTCACCTTTTTTTGCATTTTTCTGTTTCACAAAAAATTCAGATCACAGTCAACTGCAATCTCGCTTGAATCAATTTTCAAGTACCGTGAAATCCAGTGCTAAATCAACTATCGATTCATCCTGTGGATCATTTAAACCACCAAATAACCATTTCAAAAATTCATACAAAACTGATTATGATTCAAAGCACAATCAAAATTATAACAATAGTAATAATGATACTACAGGCAATCCATTGAAGTCAGCTACTCCAGATGAACTTCAGACTCAGAGATTTTTGGCCAATGTACGTGAAAGACAACGTACACAGTCTCTAAATCAAGCCTTTGCTGAATTACGTCGAATTATTCCAACATTACCATCTGATAAACTTAGTAAAATACAAACACTGAAATTGGCTACTCGGTGAGCTGGGCAATTTTTAATACAGTTTTCTGTTTATTTGTTCACGAGTTGATGTAATGTGAATAGATAATGAGATAGAAGTGAAATTCAAAAGCGAAAGTATAAAATTGCATTATTATTCAATGACTCTGAATAGTGGCCTTGAACGTGTAGTGTTCAGCCAATAGGAATACTGATTACGGCATAATAAAAATAAAGGAAAATATGACGTTAATCAGTTTTTGGTGAAGTTAAAGAATAGGAACCAAAAATCAGCTAATGCTGTGTGCCAGATAAAATTTAAGTGGATTTATATGAAAGTAGAATTTAGCCACAATGATCTATGATATTTTGAACATTTATTGCTGATTACCATGTGACCTTGACGTGGTTATCAGCAGTATATTGTACTTTCTACACACTTCATTAAGTAACAGTTTTATCATGTGACTTTAAATAAATGGCTGACAATCGACCTAAGTGACACAGAATTATCCACACATTACTTTCATTTTAGTCGGCATACTAAATTTCAATATTGTCCCATTCCTCCTTGGTCACTTCTGGCAAATTTCTACCAATTTTGACCACTTACTTCATCCTTCAATTTAAGCGCCTTCTTGTTTGATGAGCTGATATGAGGTGTGGCAACTTCGACTGTTATGCAGTAATACTAGGCCCCACGCTGATATTGTCTGTTGGTCTCTCTGTGTGGTACATAAGTGAACTAATTAGAGAAAATCACAGTGGGACTTTGCAGTTCGGAATATGCATTTTAAAATGAATTTGCTTTTCACCTTAAACATTACTAGTCTACTTTGGTAGTTACTAAGAATTGTGGTGGTTGAGGAAATTCAACGCTAGACTTGTATTTGAAGGGTAAAACAATAACATCTCTTAAGATGACCCTCTCTCTCTGTGTGTGTCCCAAGGTTATTTTAAAGTGTTAAAATTATAGGTACTTGTCTAGTTATTGAGTCATCGGTGTATTTTGCTGGATTTTAATGTTGGGGTGTGTCGAAATGCAGGCATCCTTAGAATAAAATAACTATCTACGAAATTGTAGCTTTTTACAAATGATCTGACTAAACTTCGTTCCTAAAGGTACAGTACATTACGGTCAGTTGTTGACAGGATGATCTGAAATACGTAGTCAAAATTTTAGTGTCAGAAGAAAAATGCGAAAATTCACCCAACAACCTCGTGCACGTCCATGCAGTAGGTAATGAACTCCACCCGTTATTTTACGTCTAACGACACCACCTAGTTGCCAAAACCTCAGTAGGCTGAGTGGCTTTAGAACTGGTGAGCCACTGGTTAGAAGTCGAGTGTCTCTACCAATAAACCTCACCTTCGGTAAGGATACTTTCAATCTAAATGTCTAAACACATAGTAACCTCAAAAATTTAAGGTTACACATCGCTTACCTTGATCTACATCTGATGGATCTGCTAAAGAATATCCCGAAAATTAGTTTTCATAGTAATACGGTGAGAGCGGTTATATAAGAAGCGAGAAACAGTCAACCGATGTTTGCACCACTTCCGTCTATCTAACTGGTGAGTAAGTATTGGTAGTTGCGAATGTTGTCCAGTTACCAACCGATGCATCTTACGGAAATTATCTTATCTATTTGTTATCATTCACTGGATTAAGTTTTTCTTGTGCATTTCTTAATTTATACAGATATATTGACTTTCTATCACAAGTACTGCAAGCATCATCAACGTCATCATCTGCTAATAGCCAACCCAATGATTTCACTGAAGACTTGTCTACAGAAGTCTATACAGCCACTACAGGATATATGCTAAGGTCAAATAATGGTTGGGGAAGGGAGAGATTCGATTACTTCCGCTCTCTACCGTCGTGTGTATCATTTCCATCCGCTGATTACGGTGGAGTTGAAAAGTTGAAGAGACTAAAACCAGATGTTGTGTATAATCTTCATTATAACATTGAACATCATGACAGGGAAGATTTTGACGGCGGTGGCGGTGACTGTGAGAAGAATTACCACAATGATAGGAAATATCTGGAAGTATACCCTCTCGAGGGTGAAGATTATTCGATGAAGCCGAAACTGGAACACAGTAGTGCTGTTCAGCACTCATCATCATCAGTGTCTTCTTGTTCACCCTTGTCATCGCCATCTTCTTGTTCCCCTTTATTGTCGACATTTGTAACAATATCAGAAACACCAGCATGCTGTGCTGAAAATTGCATCAATAAAAATGATAGAGGGTTGCTATTCAGTGGATTAAAGTGTTATAAAAGCGTTTCATCACCCCTGTCGTCATCATTACAATCAAGTTTGGATGCAAAAGCCCAAATATTGACAATACCATCAACGCTAGCGCAACATGTACACATGACATCCTTTCAAATCAAGGAGTGAGTTATGCATTTTCAGTATGGCGTATGGAAGGAGCACGGTTCTCGTCAAATATTGATATTAATGATGATATTGATAATGTAATTCTGGGGAACTAGCCAGGCTCACTGATTTGTTTGTATATATACAAATAAAGGAAAGAAGAGAGTTTTGATATTATTTCAAATTACTTATTTCTTGAATAATATGCCTTAAAAAAACAACTGCAACATTAAAAGTAAATACCGTTTTTGTTGCAGTCACAAAAACTTAATTTTCAAGAATCTTCGAGCTGTTCTTTTTTTAGCTAAGTGAAAAAGGAATCTCAAGCACACACAGTGTGACACATACACTTCTTCTTATAAAGTTTATATCTGTCTTATCGAACTCACAAAATATCTTGCTATTTTAGTCAGTTAGTCGTGGAGTACATCATGGATACTCGTTATAACCCTTCAGAATCAGAAAATTAAAGTTTTCTAAGCATCCTGACAAAAGATTCTGAATAAGTGGTATGGGTTTCAGTTCATATCAATTTCCAAACCATACCAAGAATTGTTCTAAGCGTAAGAAGCGAATTGGTTGGATCTGTTAACTGTTTTGCCTATTGCTAGCGTTTTGTCAGTCTTCTACAGCTCACATATGGTGTTAAGGTGGAGAGCGGGAAAGAGACTCAGTTTGTGTTCGTAAATTTACGTCATACATGATGCTTAAAAGAAATCCGATTACCTGTTAGGAAACCAGTATATCACTCAGTGCCTATCTACTTTATCTTATAGAGTTTTCAGAAATAACGACTTAGATCTAATTTAATTAAAGCACTGGAGGTATCACCTAATTAAAGGTGTCTTAGAAGTGTCGCGAATTCATAAGTTCATTGGCTATCGATCTGAACGGTATAAGTGAGTGTAGTCTTCACTGCTGAAAAGCATTTTGCATGTCAGGAGTACTCTGTGGAGTGGTGATCTCGTGTTTCTGATGAGTATGGAAGCAGGACGAGCGGGTTGTACAATGCTGGATCATTTCTAGTGGTCCTTCAACTCCATCAGCATTTGAATGAATAGACTTCAAATTGTATACCTAGAAAACTTTCCTTATCACAGCACGGCCGTCGAAAATAGCTTGAGAACAAACATTTAAAATAATAGCTCTGGAAAAATGTGGTGTTTAGTTTAAAGCTTCTTATTAGGCTTTCGTAATTTTTTGACGGTTTGAAAAATATTTCAGTAGAAAATTTTGATTTATACTGGGTGATGCTTGAAAGTGAGCTGAAAATCTGGTCTTGGTTTTTATATTTAAGCTACTTAATACGCTTGTTAGTAGGCAAAAATTAAGGAAGTGTTTACTGAACTAACGAGTCAAACTTCGTAACAAAAGCTCCCTAAATGCTCATCGTTTAAATTGATTCAGTGTTTTCAGTTATGTTCACAAAATCATTCCCAGACATGGACTTTGATCTTAAGTCACATTCTGCTCAGCGAATTGGATAGAAATGTGTTACTAATACAGTTATATTTTTCTTACGGTTATCACGGAATTTATTGATCAATTTAGAATGTTTCAAGTTGTTATTCATTGAAGACTGACATCAGTTGGAGGAACAAAGGAAACCTGGGAGCACTGGACAGCTGTTTCGTCCTAGTATGGGACTCCTCAGCAGTGCGCACCCACGACCCCACCAGCAGGGATCGAACCCGCAACCTTCAGGTTCCGACCAGCGCGTTACCATTGATGTCAGTCTTCGATGAATAACAACTTGAAATATTTCCAAATCTCCACAACCCCCTCAAAATTCAGTTTAGAATGGTTATAACTGATGATCAAGGTGTCCCGAAAGCCTGTTCTTCGCTATGCATGCCAATGGATACAACCCCACGGTACAGCAGGACAGAGTGACAATCCTCATAAATAACCTAGTGGTGTGGAGGGAGAGATTGATAACTGAATCCTTGTTTATCGAGTCAACACCAAGCACCTAATTAATTTACATGGAAAATCCTACTACCTAATATCACAAGGGAGGCTAAAGAATTATGACCACATAAACCATGTTTTAAAGTCAGAGAATTGCCTGATGTCCCATCAGGGACTATAGACAATAAATTGTGTCCGAAATATCACCTTAATATAAAGCCCTCAACATAGTTGTTCACAGCTTACTGACAACCACATTGACTATCTAAGAAAAGGGTCAGTGAAGTTAACAGGAAACATAGGAATAGGCAGGGAGAGAAGAGGAAAGAAACGTTACTCACGTTACTCTTGGTATGAAAATTAAAATCAATACTACCAATGTAGGTTCAGTGTGAGTACAAACTGTTTTTGTGAACATAAAGGGGGTTTGAATTTACGGATGGCAAGAGCTTCAATAAATTTAAGCACTCGGCTCTGACCGCTTTTATGTAGTACTTTAAAGGCTGTTTTCATGTCTATCCTAGGGTTAGTTTCTAGTATATATTTAGCGATAGACGAAGATGGATGTTTGTCACCTGCACTTATCGGATCTGTTGAGGTCATTTGTTTTTGTAGCCACTTAGGTACATGTTCAACCTTCCTTGACTGCATATCACGATTACTCCTCTCTATACATGTGTATCCACACATACATGTAAGTTGATGATGTAATCGTTTGTATGTTGCTTTGGTTTGCAACATGGACTTTTTCTTCTCTACAAGGATGACTTTGGCTGCATAATACGTCTTACAGATGGCCGATCTAAGTCTATTCCTCACAACAAAGCTATGTAAATCACCTCTAAATGGTAATGAAATGTAGACATTTTTCTTAGCAACGGAACACTGTACTTTTCAGTGGTGCATAACTTTTGCATCGGTCGATAAATCTCAACAGGTATCCATTTTGTGTCAGTGCTGTCGTCAGTAGGTTGGTTTCTTCAGAAGACAGATATATTACGGCGCTTCACTGTTTGTTAGTGTTCATATCGATGGACACAATGAGAGTGATGACTGTTCAACATGGTGTTTTTGCAGTTACTGCAGTTTATTTTGTAGAGGCCTGTGTTCTTTCACTACTGTGTCTTTTAGTCTGCATAACGGAGACTGGCAACATTTGGTAGGCTTGTGAGCTACAGTCACTCCGATAAGCTTTAGTAACCTAGCTACAATCCTGGAGACGTTCTTCAATCGGTTTGCTGGTTTCCAAAGATGAATTCGTGGTTGATGACGAATATGACAAAGAGCTACCGATAAAGTTGTGTAGATGGAAGAAACATTCAATTACAACCGAATTTATCACGACAAGCTGATAATCCACTTGGGGAGAAAATCTCATGGCTCATTTCTTTCTAAATTTTGTGCTGCTGATGTTGTCTAGAATGAAGATTACAACTTCATGATTGAATCATCAAGCCCAGAGAACACAACAATGCAGCCAAAATAATCCTCACGAGCTTCAAATATTCCTTCATCATATGAGAATCTACGTTTTTAACAGAAATAAAGAGACCGAATGAATTATTTCGACAGTTGCTAGGGTGACTTTTAGGATCACCTCTTCTTTTGCTACTACTCTCATATCCTTGTTAATAACTTCGCTACACCAAGCAATCGAATACCAATAATATACTGAAACTATCAGTTTAATTACACTTGAAACTGAGCGTAAAATATCTTCACACCTAACTTGTCAACACAAACTAACTATTCCGATGGCATAGCCTTGAAAGAGGATGCGAACAGCATCACCTATTGAGAGACAATTATATCTAGTTGGTTAGACTAGCTGAGATAATGGGGTCCAATGGATTGTTATCCAGTATCCGAAGGTCTCTTGTTCGAATCGTGCCTTGGCGCAGGCTGTTATTTCTCCTTCAATCGTTCATCACTTCGAATCATAAATACCAATGTGTCAAAATGGGGCACTCAACTAGTCTTTTTCAATATTATAATTCATATGCTAGAATTCTAATTGAATTTGGTGAGCACAGGATTTCTACATAGAGTTTAAGCAAGCTAATTAATAACAAACTGATTCCTGGTATCTCTAAATGTAAAATCTAAATTTACTGGTATCCGGACTTATAAAACAATGTTATCGACACCCTTTGCCAGAAAAGAGACGGAATATCTGTGAATTATATGATATGGGGTTCAACAATTAGTCTTATTTACAGTTCCTTGCTGTAATCATTGAGAACTTTCTTGAACCTATGTCTTTTGATACTATTGGCTATCACTGGAATCCAGAATGCGCGTTCCATCCTATGGGGGACTCGTCAGTTGGGTGTGCCTGCCTCCTAGCGAGTGATTTTTTTCTTAGTGAGACTCAAATCCAAGACTCATGGCTTCAGATGGAGGATTATTATTCAGTCGACTCTTGAGTCATGTGATTGACACTCCTTGTGCGACATCACTTGGGGCCAGGTACATTCAGGAGACAAGTGAGTTCCAAATAGGACAAAACGCTTGTCTTGGAATCCACTGCTAACCACTAGTCATTATGAATGACAAATTTAGAAATTTGAAATGTATCATGCACTTAATGAACCTACGATTCAAAATTCTCATCATATTGATCACCTACGGTGCAAAACCAGCTAGAGAATCAGTAAAAATCGAGAGTACTGTATAGATTTTTCGTCCTACTTTTAAGCTACGCAACAGTTGATATACGCGACCACATGAAGAATTAGTACCAACACCAGGAGGTCGGTCCTGTGATGTGTATATTCCTATTCACCCTCTAGTGTTGGAATCTTTTTAATGGTCAACAGTTTTTCAACTTTTCCAACTGAGGTTGACTTATAATACTACGTAATTCAAAACCAGTGGATTGCTATAAACCCCTACTTGAATTATGATTCTGAAATGCTGGACAATCTTGTAGCTCAGGTGGATGACCTTAGTTTTGCTGTATTCTCTGAGCTGGGTGGTTCAATCGTCAGACTTTCATCATGTTTGTAGACAACATCAGCACTAATATATATATATATATATATATATATATATATATATATATATATATATATATATATATATATAAACTGTTGGAAGTCACTTCGATC